TTTTAACTTTTTAAATATATATTTTAAATAAAAATTTAACATATTATATAAATGATAATTAAATATTTTTTTGATAAAAAAAAAAGCGATCAACAAAGACTTTATATAGGAAAAAAATATTTCATTTGCTATTCATATAAATTATTAAATTTTCATTTAAAATTTATATCTAAAAAATCAAAAAATCAAATTAAATTTATTAAAATGAACAAAGAGAATATTTTTAATTCTCAAATAAAATACTTAATAGAACATAACTCCTCAAATACATAAACTTTTTTAAAAATCACACATTTATTATTTTATTCAACTTACGTTTTATAAATTTAAATAACAAAACCTTGAATTAAAAATTTTTTAAAAAAAGGCCTTTAATCTAACAGCTAAGGCAACTGGATCAAGAAAGATGGAGCATTTTTTTGGATTAAAAAATAAAAACCTAACATGTTATATCCGGAGAATATTTCTTGTTTTAGAGCTCTTCTCAAATGAGGTAAAACGCTGTCTCTTTATTTTATTTTGAGACAAGAACAAGCAAATAAAGCACCACCATTGTACATGCTCTAAATGGGTTCATCCGTTCACGAATCATGATCCCGGCGAATCTACCCCTTCTCCACGCGGTTTCCACTTTCCAGCTCCGTCGCGTCTCCATCCCATCTCATTTGTGGAGGGACGAAAGATTCTTCATTGAAGTGGGATAATCGCAGGGGACCAGGAGGGAAAAGACCAAATAAGCCAGCATGAGGTGGGTATCGGAGAGGATCATCGGAGACCCAGTAAAATACTGGAACTCAGATTCAAATGGTAAAACATAGGGTAACAGAAAATGAAAAGAAAAAATTTTTCCTCTTAATTTTCTCATCAACCAAACAGAGTGAACGTATTTTTCTCTTGATTTTCTCATCAACCAAACAGAGTCCTCTCTAATCATATTAAAATTGAAGCACGTAAGCAGAATTATATCTAATTTTATATTGATAGTCTAAAATTTTAAATTCATGATCTTTGTTACTATGAATAAGTTTAAGTTAAGTTGGATTTTTGAATTAAATTAAATTTTATTATGTTTAATAAAAGTAAAAATTTGTGTCTCTGATACAGTAATAATCATGATACAGTAATCATCATGATGATAAAAAATTATTATGCTGATGTTGACATAACAATAACGAAATTTTAGTGAGTATACAATGTCATCGTTCACTTTAAATTTAAATTAAAAAAATAAAAAATTAAAACCATCAAATTATAAATTGAGTGGCTGATGAAAGGCCGGTAATAGATTTTAGCCCACTGATTAGTCATTTTCACCTTTTTTTTTTTTTTTTGAACAGAGGGAATTTGAGAGAAAGAAAGATAAAGTTTACTATTGCAACTTGAATTTTGCCTAAAATTAAAAGTTAAATATATCCTGATCAACGTAATCAAAGTTGCAAGTGCATCATTTTCACGTATTAATTGTCACATTTCGGATCGATTTTTCATTTCTTTTAAATCACACATATAAAATTTTGAGATTAAAATTTAAAATTCACATTATTAAATAAATTTTTTAATATATACCTTAAAAATATATGTTAAAATTTTTTTATTAAATTAATTAATATGTATAATTTTATGAGTTTAAAAAAATTAATTATTAAATAATATAAAATTTATATTTAATATTTTAAATAATATGACTT